CATCTGAGGATATTTTTTCCATTGCTTTTCAGAGAGAGTGGAAGGGAGAGAGATAGAAACACATCAATTGGTTGCCTCCCGCATGTGCCCCAACCAGGCCTGGAGATTGAGCCTGCAACTGAGGTATGTGCCCTTGGTCAGAATTGAACCCAGGACTCTTCAGTCTGCAGGCCAATGTTCTAACCACTGAGCCAAACCAGCTAGGGCTGTCCTTTTTTAATGCTGTTGAAGTTCTTTTAAAGCTCATCTACTCTTCCCCTGAGTTCACTGAGCATCCTTATAAAACTGTTTGAATTCTGCCTCTAGTAGATTGCTTGTCCCCATTTTGTTTAGTTATTTTTCTGGAGTTTTGTTCTGTTCTTTCATTTGGGACATGTTTCTTTGTTTCCTCATTTTGGCAGCCTCCCTGTGTTTGTTTCTATGTATTAGGTAGAGCTGCTTTGTCTCCCAGGCTCAGTAAAATGGCCTAATGTAGTACATGTCCTGTAGGGCCAGAGGCACAGCCTCCCCATTCACCCAAGCTGGGCACTCCAGGTGTGCCCACCCCTTCCTGTGGGTTGTGTACACCCTCATGTCGTAGTTGAGCCCTGATTTCTGTAGGAGGGATTTACCCAGGCCAACTGGCTGCAAGGACTGACTGCAACCACCATGGAAGATCAGCTGTGCAGGAGCCCACCCCAGGAAAGAGGACTTACTTCAGTGGGGCTCTGGTGTCCACTGAGTCCACTCCTTGAGTGTATCACTTGCAGAGGTGGTTGGGTGGTCCTTCAACATGGTCTGAAGATGTCCACTGGGTGCACTGGCTCTGGGGCCTCCTGGAGGTGCAGGCAAAGATCCGCAGCTGCCTGTGTTCTGCCCAGGGTCACCCAGCATGAGCTACAAAGTGATCTGCAAATGGCTGGTACTTGCGCTAAGCTTAGAGTTGCCCAGGAGAGGCCAAGCTGCAAACCAAGGCCGGCTGCCACTATGTGGGGCCTGGGGCCACTTAGGGAGAGGTATGGGGCATGCCAAGGCGGGATGCTGCTTGTTTGAGAAATGCTGGGAAAGTCTGAAGCATGAGCCAAGATAGGCCATTCATATGGAAAAGCCACTGGAAACAGCTTGGGTAGGCATGAAAGTTGGTGGGGCGAGGTCTCACGGAACCACCAGGGCTGAGCAAACAGTGATAGCCAGGTTGATGGAGACTCAGATAATGGTACCCACCTGCCAGCTCTGTGGGGGAAGGACTCAGAAAAGGAACAATGGCCTCTGTCAGCACTTTTATCTGGGAGAAAGCTGCCCTTCCAGCTCTTTCCCTGATGCCAGACACTTCGGTTCCTCCCTGTATGTCCCTGGTGCTTTCTGAGCTACTGCCCCAGTGCTGGAGCTCTGAGGGAGTGAATCCAAGTAAGTCTGTGCTCACGACCTTTAAGAGGAACTGCCTGGGACTCCAGAAGTCTTCCATCCCACTCAGCCACAATCCCCACTGGTTTTCACAGCACAAGTTAGGGGGACTTCTCTTCTGGGTACTAGAACCCTGGAGTGGGGAGCCTGGGGTGGAGCTGGGACCCCTTGCTCCTCAGAGGAAGACCTCTGCAGCCAAGATATCCCTCCCAATTTTTATCTGCCATACCTGGGTGTGGGACCAGCTCATTCTGCACCTCTACCCCTCCTACCAGTCTCCATGTGACTTCTTTATATCCTTAGTGTAGGACTGCCATTCAGCTAGATTTCAGGCAGTTTTGAATGATAGGATAGTTGTTATGTAGTTTAGTTGTATTTTTGATGTGGTCGTGGAAGAGTGTACTGCATTTACCTATGCTGCCGTATTGACTGGAAGGGTTACACTGTTAAAGGCATTTAGTTTTTACTCTGAGGGCACTTGGGAGTCATGGGAGAATTCTGAGCAGAGAAGGAACAAGACAACTTTACATACTGTATCACTCTGGCTTGGTGCAGGGATGGATTAGAGGGATGATACTGAAGATGGGAAGACCAGGTAGGAGACAATGGCTGTGGAGAAGTGATATGAAGAGTCTGGATGAGGGTCGAGACAGTGGAGCTGAAGAGAAATAGAAACTTTCCAGAGGTGCTTGGGAGGTGGATGTGATGGGCCTGGGTGTGGAATAAAAGTACATAGGATGATGCCCCCCTTGATCTCTCTAGGTAGAGACAGGCCCCCCCTTCTGTTGCTCTCTGACCCCTGGGCTGTGTCCAGCTTGGCATGGGATCCAGGTCTGCCACCTCCACTGGACTACAATTGGGGGACAGGGACAGTCTCAACCTGGGCCCAGGACAGAGGACACACCTGAAATGGGTTTGATTGGTGGGTGCATAAACAAAGAGGAGTCTCCTTTCTTCCCTGCTCCATGATACCCTCTCTCAAGCCACAAGCACAGCCACCCTTTCCTCCTGTCTCTACAGGCCTGGCCTCCTGAGGGGCGTTGTGTGAGGGATGTCACAGAGCCAGGTGCCCTGAAGATGGAGTCTGGTGATCCCATCACTATCATTGAGGGCAGGTGAGGGCCTCATGTTTCCCACGAATCCCCAGGAGGAGGACTCCCTCCCCAACTGTCTGACCCGGCCTCTTTTCTGCTCCTCCCCAACTCCTTCAACCCTGATCCTCTGCTCCATTTCCTCCTCTCCCCACTGGGCCTTGAGAGCTCCACCAATCCTGGCCTCCTGGCTGGAGCCACAGCAGCCCATAGAGCCTTTTTGTGTTAGGGAGAAAAGGGCTTTCCTTCCTCCAGGCAGATGCAGCTCCATGGCACACAGCTTGTGAGCCGAATGCTGGCGGGAGCCCAGCCTCCACTCCCTGCTTGCTCTCACCTCCTTCACCAGCCTCTTCCCACAGCCCCAGCTCCACAACCTGGAAGGGCCAGAATGGTCGCACACTCAAAGTGGGCAGCTTCCCAGCCTCGGCAGTGACGCTGGCAGACTTGAAGGGCTCACCAGCCACCTGTCCAGTCCACAGAGGCTCCCCTCCCCAGGGAGAGCAAAGCCGGGAAAACATAGATGGGTGAGGACCTGAAAGAGTGGGGGACAGAGCTGGGCTGGGGGAACCAAGTTCAGCAACTGCTCTGGAAGGGAAGCTTGGGGAGGGGCCCGGGTGAAGCTGGGAGGCTGGACTTGCCTTCCAGGTGAAGCTTCCACTCTGGGTCTCAGTCAGCCAGGGAGTACCAGAGATTCTTTGGGAAGGAACATTGATATGTGGGTTGGGACTGAGGTGGAAAATGAACTGGATCACTCTCCAGCAGGGTCAGAGTGAAGGCAAAGCTTCGGGAGCTACCTCCAGCACAGTGTCAGAGAAGGAACAAGGCCCTGCAGAGGGTAAAAGGTGGGTATGGGGGGGGGGGTCTGAGATCAAGAACAATCCTCCAGTTCTGCCCCTGCTCTGAATACATATATGATTCTGCATATATGATTTCCCCACATACGACTTCCTTCCCCTACTTCATTCTGCCTGTTGACATCCCATCTGTCATTTAAAATCTGCCTTCTCCACTGAACAGCATCTCCTCCTGCAGCGCCTGCACTCCCAGTTCTTTGGGTACTTAGCTGCCTAGGCCCGGTGTCTGTTCTGCACACCTGTCTTATTGTCCCACCTAACACAAGGACCACCTGAAGAGAGCATAAGCAGACAGAGAGTGGGGAGAAGGCAAGGCCCAGCATCTGGGCTTCCTCTCAAGTTGTTTTTTTGTCACTGTGCAGGCATTTCCAAGAGTCTGGAATCTGTTCTGTCCCTGGGCCCCTGCCCCACAGGGGGTGGTTTGAGCCCCCCTGAACTTCGAAAAGCCAGAGATGTGCCCCAGGGACCCCCAGGCCTGCCATCCTGCCCACCCTTTGCCTCCAGCTCTTCTCAGCCCAGCCAGCCCCCCAGGGAACGGCCTTCCTGGCCCAGAAGAGAACCCCTGCACAGTCACCCCTTGGGAGCATCTGGGGCCAGCAAAGCTACTGTTCTCTCTGGAGATCTCTTGTCTGACCCTGAGCTGCAGAAGAGGGTTATGGAGGTGAGGCCCCCCTGAAGTGGCCTGGTGTCCAGAAGGGGCTACAGGCTGGGGTAAGATGCTAAGTGAGGCTTTGTCCCCTGCAGGTGGAGCTGAGCGTACATGGAGTCACCTACCAGGAGTGCCAGGTGGCACTAAGAGCCACTGGAGGAGATGTGGTTTCTGCCATCCAGAACCTTAAGGTAAAGCCAGACCCTTCTCTTGGGTTGCCACCTCTCCTGCCCCTGCCCTCTGGCAGTCAACTGCCCTCCCTCCTGCTTCCACAGGTAGACCAGCTCTTCCACCTGAGCAGCCGGTCCAGAGCTGACTGCCGGCACATCTTGGAGCATTACCAGTGGGACCTCTCAGCAGCCAGTCGCTATGTCCTGGCTCGACCCTGAGCTCTGCTCCTTTAGACACGGACACCATCATGCACCAAGGGCCTGACCATGGGGGCCAAGCAGAACCAGAACAAGGTCCTGGAAGGGTATACTTTCCCACCTGAAGAGAGCCTGCCATAGGCAGGTATAGGAGGAGTCCAGAGTCAGGCACTGACGAGTGTCTCCTCCTACCCTGCCCCTTGGCCTCTGAGCTGGCTGGGTCATAGAAGGATCTAGTCAACTCTGCCAACCACATTTCCAACCAGGAAGAGGACTTGGAGGAACAGAGCTGCTACACATCATACCTATAGGAAGCTTCTACTTGCTACAGAGAGTGATCAAGTGGCCATACTGAACCATGGGAACAGCCATCCTGAGCTGCCTTCAGCTGCCACACTGAGCCCTGTGGGAATAGCCATGTTGGGTGATGGAAGCAGCCATACTGACTTGGGGCACATGGCCCAAACTGCCTTGGCTTGGGCCGGGGCCATCATGGGGGATGCAAGTTGCTGTCCTGGATGCAAGGACACTTGATCCTGGCAGCATGGATTATGAGATGGGACAGCCCCACCCAACGCAGCTGTCATATTTCCCTTTGTTTCTTCCCACACCAATTATTTCTTCTACCCTCTCCCATTACATATATCTTCTAGTGTCCAAAAAGTTACAAAGTTTATATGAATATAACATACAAAGATGCAGCCTCCTTTGTAGGAACAGGGAAGGAAGGGGTGGTTAAGGCACATGGAGCTGCAGCAAGCACCAGCTGAGGGCAGGGGCCAAGGGAGAGAGGAGGTTGGCACTGGGGCCTAGGCCCTAGAGCTGTTGCTGGGAAGTGGGAATACCCTCTGAGTGCCATGTTCTGAGGCTGAAATAATTGGTCAGGCTAAGGCAGGGAAGGGTGGCCATATCAGCCATCTTTGGTGCTGCTTACCCTTTCCCACCCTAGCTCTGTTGTAAAACTCCAGAGCCCTGGATTCCAAAGGCCTCACCCAGAGCAGAGGTCCTGGAAGGGGGTGGGAGGAACTGAGTAGGGCAAGTTCGAAAGCCAAAATACCTGTGTGCTGAGGGATTGCTGGAGACAGTGGTGAGAGAGAGCAGGGGAAGGGCTCTCATACATACCCTTCTGTGGGGGCCACAGGTGAAGGAGGCCAGGGGAGTAGGGTAGGGATGGGGGACCATGGCCCCCAGCCTCTTAGACATCCTTGTGTGTCCTCTGCATTGTACATGGAGAAAAGGGTCTGCCTCTGAGGAGGAGCCAGGCCAGGGCAGGTGATCATCTTGAATTCTGGTTGAGGTGATGGTCTCCTCACCCTGAGATGCCATCTAGCTGGTGATGGCAGAGGGCCCAGTGCCTCCTCTCTTCTCGAAGAACATGTAGTCCTGAGGGGAGGGTACTGTCAACAGGAGATGTGGCTGGGCTGGCCTGGCTCAGCTATCACAACCCAGGTCTGGAACTGCAACCCCCAGAAAGTCTGTTCCTAACCCTTTCCTAGCAGGAGGCCAGGAAGTGCACAAAACCCGCAGTGGGAACAAAGGAGGGGCAGCCAACTCACAATGAGGAATGTGGCTCCCAGCAGTACAGCCTTCACTCTCACGTCCAGATCCAGCGGGAACTGCAAGCCAAAGTCATCTGCATCCGTGAGGGCTTCTTGGAGCAGCCCCCCCCACTGCTTGCTGATGCGGCCCACACTGCGGGACTCATCCGGAGTCTTCACCTGTCAGGAGGGGGAGCAGGAAGAAAAGACCCAACTAGGGTGGATGCAGCTGCTCTCACCTGTCTCTAGTCTCACTCCCAGTCACGCTGTGTGAACGATGCTGGCTCTACACTTATAGAATCCTCCTAACAACCTTGGGTTTCCATGTGACTTCTGGGGAAACTGAGTCACCATAGGTCACACTGTGACTACAGTGGTACCTCGGTTTTCGAATATGATCCGTTCTGGAAGGCCGTTCGAGCTCTGAAATGTTAGAAAACCGAGGGATCAACAGCCGACAGCTAGGCCTCAGGATCTTGCACTCAGCGGAAGCCGCGGGGCATGTTCGAAAACCGAAGCGTTTACTTCTGGGTTTATGGCGTTCCTAAACCGAAATGTTCGTCAACCAAGACGTTGGAAAACCGAGGTACCACTGTATATAGCAAAAATCAGGATTCAGACTTAGATCTGTTTCTCTTGAAGGGCTGCACATGACAACTGAACATCAGTGGAGAGAGAAATGGAAGCATAATAGAGTCTAATCTCCTTAGTGTATGGCTGGTTGCTAGGTGTTTTTATTACCAAAGTCCCTGCCACCCACACATGGTGCAGTTTGTGCCCTGTACAAAGTAGCTTGACCAAGAAGGCAAGGGAGACTGAAACCTATCAGCCAACAGGGCTCCTAGGAGGCTGTGTCTGCCCAAAGGGGTGCATTTCCTCTGAAAAGTAGGGAGGGCCCCTGACTAGCACTGTATGCAAGCCTCATCTAGAGGGGATCCAGGCCCTCTCCTGGGGGGACAGGACAGCAGTAAGTAGCCTCTGAGGACCATGCTTTCCACTGGACCCTCTGGGCCCAGCAGCACTAGGCCCTGCTAATGTAGGTGGTAACTCACAGTGACTGGTCCGTTTCATATGCTTGTTCTCCAGTGACTAGAACTAGCATGATTCCCTTCTATGTCCTTCCCATCCCCCTCCCTCACTGTCCTACACCTCTGGGACACTTGATGACCAGTCCCATGCTGGGCAGGGTCTCTCCCAGCCAACCCTGTGGTCCCAAGAGTACAGCCCCAAATATGGACCATTCATAATTATGTAAAAGGGAGACTGGCCCTATGAGAACCCCAGAGTCTACACATTCCCATCCAGAAGTTACCAAATTATATCTTTCCCAACCAGTACCTATCACAGAATCTCCCCTCAGCTGCTAAGGTGACTCAATTTTTAAAAGTAACCTTAGGTAGGACACCTCATCAGATGCCTTGGAAAATCTACTGCATTATAACTATTATTTCTCCCTTATCTGCACAGGTAACTATCCCTTAAAGAATTCAAGGGTCTGGCCCTGGTCAGTGTGGCTCAGTTGGTTGGGCGTCATCCCATGCACTGAAAGGTTGCTGGTTCGATTCCCAGTCAGGACACATGCTTGGATTTTGGGCTCGATCCCCAGGAGGGGGTGTGCAGGAGGCAGCCAATTGATGTTTTCCTCTCACATTGATGTTTTTTCTCTCTCCCTCGCCCTTCCACTCTCTAAAAATCTTAACAAACAAAAAGAATTCAAGGGTCTGTAAAGTGCTCTGTCTTCTAGAAACTGTCACCACTTGGGTTCTCCAGGCTCCAGGTTGGTGATAGGAATACATGGTGTGAAGGATATCACCTGAATTCAGGTTGGAGGGACCATTTGGGCTTCTAGGTTGGCAAGGTAATCCTCAGGATGTTAATCCGTAGCGCTTGCTCCAGGGCCTGAGCTCACAAACTCATGCACAGCAGTCACATGGGTCTAGCCCATGGCAGCAGACTTAATAATCATCTTCACCCTTAGATTGTTTCCCCCCTCAACACGGGGCTGTAGGTAACAATGAGCATTGGCCCTCAAGATAAAACCCTCTTTGTCATGCTTTTATAAGACCATAGAGCCATCCTATTTCTAAATGAAGGAACACTGGGAATGTGGTAGGAGTCACAGTGAATTTGGATTAATGAGCTCAGTGTCTTGACCTCAGTGTTGACCAGTCTGCTTTGTGGAAGCTTCCATCTTGGTTTATGAAGGTCCCAGGAATCTCCCCTGATTCTTTTTTTTTTTTTTAATCCTCACCTGAGGATATTTTTTCTATTGCAGAGAGAGTGGAAGGGAGAGAGAGAGATCGATGTGAGAGAGGTACATCGATTGGTTGCCTCCCGCATGCACCCCCGCCAGGGCTGGGGATTGAGCCTGCAACCAGGCCCTTGTCTGGAATCAAACCCGGGGCCCTTCAGTCCACAGGCCTACGATGTAGCCACTGAGCCAAATCTGCTAGGGCTCCCTTTATTCTTGATACCTCAAAGTTGGTGTCTGTGCCACAGCCACAGGTCCAGCAGGGCCCTACCACTCGCAGGACTGTATGGCGATCAGCATCTTGAATGGAGAACTTGGGGAGGAAGGGATGCCAGGTCTGTAGCACATGGCCAATGGTGGTGCCGGGTGGAGACTGTACTTCCATCTGGAGTGGAAGGCAGACAGGGTTACTGCTGAGCCAGGGAGCCCTGGCCCAAGCTCTCACCGTTCCAGCTCTGTCACCTGTCCCCCCTCACAAGAACTCCCACCGCCTTTACTGGACCACCTGCCATCCACCTCAGCAGACCTCCAGGCCCCCTGCTCACTCCCACGCCTCACGCGGGTGGGGGATGCCCCATCGTCCTCTGCATCGCCGCC